TTGAGGATGGTAGACGTAGAAGCAGATGATGCTTTGAAGAGGTTATACGGATTTTACGCTGGGAGTCCAGGAAGGGCGCTACTACAAAACTAGCATCGCCTTTCTGAGGAATGTGGGGTCTTACATGGCCCAGCTCTACGCCTTCAAATGCGACGAGCTGGCGCTGGAGAGGGCGAAGAGAATTGAGCATATGGAGGAATTGGCCAAAATGAAGGCGGAGAGGGAGAAAGAAAAAGAGAGCCTGCAGGAGGCCATCTTATCCGTAGAGAGACAGGCACAGGTCGTGCAAGCCAGTGGAAATCGCACGGTATCTCAGCCAGAGGCAACCAGTAGAGGGAATATTGGTCGTGGTCCAGCAAGGACCATGGTGCTACCGGGAGTCGAACCCAGGGCCCGGGCCCGGAGCAACACAGAAGCTGCCAACAGAGCGGTCTATCGCCGCCCGAGTAGGGGGAAACAGGGAGCGACCTCCAGACCTGGACCTCAAAACATCGATAGGGACGAAAGTGGATGGACACAAGTTCAGCGAAACAGAGGGGCCAGAAGCGCAGCCAAAAGGCCACCCAACAAGCTGTTGTTTATTGCCACGCTATCCCGCAAAGTGCAAAGCGTGGAGCAGGGGAGAAGATGGCCGAGAATCGAGGAGGAAGAGTACGAGGAATGCAGAAGCAAAGTGCAATCAGCGGCGCTTGGAGGAGAGGGAGCCAAATGGAGGATACTTGGCACATGGAGGACAACGCATGGCCTAGCCATGGAGCTGGGGGACATAAACACCTATCGGGCACTAACAGAGTCCCCGCCGGAAGGGCTAATGGTCAAGGAGCTAGCCCAGAAGTCATGTGAAATCTCAATCTCGGGTGTTCCAATGGCTCTGGCCAATGAGCAGGCTATGAGGAAAGAGATGGTCAGCAGAAATGGAGTCCCGGCCGACGTGCCATGGGAGATAGTGAAGATCTGCCCGAAGAGGGATGAGCAGGGGCAGACAGGGAAGGCAACGGTCATAGTAAAGATGGAGGAGGCGGTGGCCAATAGATTTCTAGGCAAAGGAGGAAAGAAAGAATTCATGTACATAGGGGCAGCCAAGGCAATGGTGAGGTCGCATTATTACACAAGGGTCTGCTATGTGTGCGCGGCGAGACACGCGGAGGAAGAAGGCTGTCGGGACAGGCCCGAGAGATGCGCGTGGTGTGGACAGGTAGGGCATCAGCAGCGCAACTGCACCATGCGCAGTCTACCTGCGAGTCAGCGGAGCTGTGGGCACTGCGGAGGGAAAGGCCATGGATCCATAGAATATATTAAATGCGATGCTGGCAAGGTAGCGAGAGAGGCGGCGGCGTCCCAAATAGGGGCCGCAAGGCCAAATGAGGCAGGTGAACCCCATCATCATGATAGACCTCCATGGGAGGAACGAG